GCATGTATATGCAGTGTGGTCATCAAATCAAGGGTGTTGCTCTGTTCACACAGTAATCTGTGTCAGCCTGTCTTTCCTTTTCTTATTATTTGAGGTTCTTCAATAGGCAAGAGAAAAGGAAAAGTCACCCTCTAGGGGAAATGACCACACCACCTTCCCTTCTTATCCATTCTCCTCTGAGAATTTTGGACATGCATGCCAATGAATCCTGCACTGTATTCAAAAAAAGAGGGAGAGAGAGAAAGCGACCCCCAGGGAGGACGGCCACACCACAGTCCTCTCTCCCCCTTTCTCCTCTCAGGATTTTGTGCATGCACACACACACACGACCAGCGTGCTGTCTAAGCTGTAAGGTCCAGGACTTGAACTGTGCACCCAGCCATGGGGGATCCAGTCGGAATAACCACCATGTCAAGGCTGGCCACCACCCATTGTGTTTAGAGCATCTGTCCCACTTACACTCCCATCTGTAATATGCCACTGTTCCCACCTCTCCACACCCTGACCACCTGACATTACTTTCCTAGTTTTTCATCTGTGTTCTCCCAGCACAGTGTCTCTGTGGTCCTGACTTGCCTTTCCCTAATGACTACAGGTGGCTTTCAACATTGGCTAAGGGGTCCGTAGCTGGCATCTCTTTAGACACTCCACAGCCCCGGTGAGCATCCTCACTCACCCCTCCAAAAACATCATTTCCAGGAGGACCAGCAGGAGGTGAGGTGGTTAACTCCCTGGAGTCTCACACATATAATTGTGGTTCGAGTCTAGACCCAGCAGCTTAAAGTACACACCGAGTGCGTGTGCGTGCGTGCCCAAAATTCCGAGAGGAGAGTGCTGGAGAAGGATTGTGGTGTGGCCATCAACCCTGTAGGGGTATTTCTCATGATCCCTCTCTGCCTCTCTGTGTCTACATAAGCATGCCCTATAGCAACCCTCTCTCTCTCTCTCTAAAAGAAAAAACTCAGAAAAATTCCTAGGAAATAAAAGATGAATTTCATGGAACCAGACTAGCGGCGTCTAACTGCACACAGAGAGTTCTTACCTCCAGCGGGGACAGGCTGTGTACATAGGAGTGTATACCACAGATGCGGGTAGACTACTGTGGGTAAACAATGACAACACATGATTAAAGGAGAATCCCCCCTTCCCTTTGGAGCCCCCTGCAGAAGGTACGCATCCACTGTCTGCTGATGTCGTGTTTCCAGCGCATTTGCTCATCCGGGTGTCTTTACAGATGACCATGGTCCAGCTAAAAACATTATTTAGCCACCTGCATGAAGACCTCAAGAGTGAAGCAAACATTGTGGCATGGCCACCAGCCCTGGGGGTGATGTCTCACGTTCCCTCTCTCGTCTCTCAGTCTCTATATAAGGACACACGCCCTATAGCAAAAATCTCTCTCTCTCTTAAACAAACAAAAAAAGCAACTAAAAAAGACTCCTAAGAAATAAAAGAAGTTCATGGAACCAGACAGGAGGCATCTAACCACACACAAATCTCTCTTACCTCCAGTGGGGGTGGGGACAGGAGGTCTACAATGGTGTGAAGACAACTGATTCGGGGTGACTCCTGTGGGTAAACAATGACAATGCACAGTTAAAGGAGAGACATACCCTTCCCTTCGGAGCCCCCCGTAAAATGAGCACATCCACTGTCTATAGATTTCACGTGTCCATCTCATTGGTTCATCTGGGTGTCTTCACAGATGACCATTGGCTGGCTGAAACAATGACTTAGCCCCTGGTGCGAAGACCTCAAGACAGAAACAAAAAACTTTAAAAGCTCTCATTTGTGCCTAGAAGTGTTTCCTTTTTAACTGAATGTCCTCTGTACGGATCATCGTTCATCTTCACAGGGTCAAGTATGGGTTTTGAAAGCACACCTTCGGCGTGATGATGAGCCCAGGGACATGGCTATATTCACATAGCAACCTGTGTCAGCATTGCTTTTTCTTTCTTTAAGTTTTCCCATAGGCAAGAGAAAAAAGAAAATCACCCAGTAAGGAAGCCAAGCACAAGATGAATGTCTAAAACCAGTACCTCCTCTACAACCGCAGCAAGCAACTAGGAACCAAACCAGACAATAAGGCACCGTTCGTCATAGCGATGAAAGCCTAACGCATAATGTTCAGGAATTGCCTCATGACTTGCAAGAGCTTGATGGGAACAATTTTAAACTCTACTGAAGGACGTTAAAAAAAACAATAAATGAAGAGATGGATCATGGACAGGTGACTTTACATGACAAAATGACCGACGTCATCTCTAAATGCAATGTTTCACCAACCAAAATTGCCTCAAATGGTAAGGAGCTCCATAAACTTACATAACATATAAGGAAAATTCACAAAAGAAATCACCCTCTGGGGGAATGGCTACACCACCATCCCCTTGACTCCATTTTCCTGTCAGAATCTTGGAAATGCACACCAACACCCCCAGCATGGTACTCAAAAAAAGAGGGAGACAGAGAAAGCGACCCCCAGGGAGGACGGCCACACCACAGTCCTCTCTCCTCAATCTCCTGCCGGGATTTTGTGCACACACACACACACATGGCCGGGGTGCTGTCTAAGCTGTGGGGTCCTGGACTCAAACTGTGCACCCAGCCACGGGGGATCCAGTGGCCATGACCACCAGGCCAAGGCTGGCCACCACCCACCGTGTCTGTAGCATCTGTCCCTCTTACACTCCCACCTGTAATATGCCAGTGGTCCCCCCTCTCCACGCCCTGGCCACCTGGCATTCCTTTCCTAGTTTTTCATCTGTGTTCTCCCAGCACAGCGTCTCTGTGGTCCTGACTTGCCTTTCTCTGAGGACTCCAGGGGGCTTTCAACATTGGCTAAGGGGTCTGTAGCTGGCATCTCTTTAGACACTCCACAGCCCCAGTGAGCATCTTCACTCACCCCTTCAAAAACATCATTTTAAGGAGAACCAGCAGGAGAGGAGGCGGTGAAGGCCCTGGATTCTCACACGTGTGACTATACTTGAAGTACGGACCCTGCAGCTTGAAGTACACGCTGAAGGCGAGTGTGTGCGTGCCCAAAATCCTGAGAGGAGAGTGTGGGAGAAGGATTGTGGCATGGCCATCGCCCCTGAGGGCGATGTCTCACGTTCCCTCTCTCTGTCTCTACATAAGCACTCGTGCCCTATAGCAACAAGCGCTCTTCCTAAAAAGAAAAGCAACAAAGCAAAACTCTTAGCAAGTAGGCGAAGTTCATGGAACCGGACCAGAGGGGTGTAACCGCACGCGAAGAGCTCTTACTTCCATCGGGGCCAGGGTGGACACATACGAGTGGATACCACAGACTCGACTCAACTCCTGCGGGTAAACAGCGACAATGCACAGTTAAAGGAGAAACGTCCCCTTCCCTCGGAGCCCCCTGCAAAACAAACACACCCACTGTCTATCAATGTCACGTTTCCAGCGCGTTTGCTGGTCGGGGTGTCTTTTTTTAAATTTTTATTCATTTATTCATTTTATTTTTATTTAACCATAGAGACACAGAGAGAAACAGAGAGAGAGACAGAGAGAGAGAAAGCAAGCCACCATGTCCAGGACTCAAACCGTGGTTGGCCATGTGGGAATGTCCAGCACCTTAACCACCACGCCACCTGCTGGTCCTGTCCGAGTGTCTTTATAGATGACTGTTGTCTGGCTAAAAAATGATTCAGCCCCCCGCAGGAAGACTTCAAGACGGAAACAAAACCTTGAAAGGCTCATATGTGCTCCTAAACCTTCTCTTTTTTGAATGTCTCATGTTCATATCATTGTTTTGCATCTTCGCAGGGTCAAGCATGGTCTTTGAAAGCACGCATTTGGTGTGATCATCAAACCGAGGGCGTGTTATATTACCCAGTGACCTGTGTCAGCATTGCTTGCTTCTTTTCTTACTTTCTTTCCTTTTCTGGTTTTCGAGAGATTTTTTTGCGATACGGTGCGTGTACTCTCCAAAGACACAGAGAGAGAAAGAGAGGAAGAAATCGCCCCTTTGGAGGATGGCCTGGCCTCAATCCCTTCTCCAACACCCTCCTCTTGGCATTATGGGGACACAGCACACGTACCCAGAATGTTTTAAACTGCCATGTCCAGGACTTGAACTGAGATCGAGTACACCAGAGTACAGCAACATAATCATTATGCCATCTGCTGATACCCCACCCCCCATTTTTTTCTTTTTTACAGATATTTGCCTTGGGCGAGAGAAAATGAAAAATTATCCTCTGGGGGAATGGGCACACCACAATCCCTTCTCCATTTTCCTCTCAGAATCTAGTATCTACACACCAACTCACCCAGCACGATATTCAAAAAAAAGAGGGAGAGAGAGAAAGCGACCGCCAGGGAGGACGGCCACACCACAGTCCTTGCTCCTCATTCTCCTGTTGGGATTTTGTGCACGCCCACCCACACAGACACACACACACACACACCCCAGCCACGGGGGATCCAGTGGCCATGACCACCAGGCCAAGGCTGGCCACCACCCACCGTGTCTGTAGCATCTGTCCCTCTTACACTCCCACCTGTAATATGCCAGTGGTCCCCCCTCTCCACGCCCTGGCCACCTGGCATTCCTTTCCTAGTTTTTCATCTGTGTTCTCCCAGCACAGCGTCTCTGTGGTCCTGACTTGCCTTTCTCTGAGGACTCCAGGGGGCTTTCAACATTGGCTAAGGGGTCTGTAGCTGGCATCTCTTTTAGACACTCCACAGCCCCAGTGAGCATCTTCACTCACCCCTTCAAAAACATCATTTTAAGGAGAACCAGCAGGAGAGGAGGCGGTGAAGGCCCTGGATTCTCACACGTGTGACTATACTTGAAGTACGGACCCTGCAGCTTGAAGTACACGCTGAAGGCGAGTGTGTGCGTGCCCAAAATCCTGAGAGGAGAGTGTGGGAGAAGGATTGTGGCATGGCCATCGCCCCTGAGGGCGATGTCTCACGTTCCCTCTCTCTGTCTCTACATAAGCACTCGTGCCCTATAGCAACAAGCGCTCTTCCTAAAAAGAAAAGCAGCAAAGCAAAACTCTTAGCAAGTAGGCGAAGTTCATGGAACCGGACCAGAGGGGTGTAACCGCACGCGAAGAGCTCTTACTTCCATCGGGGCCAGGGTGGACACATACGAGTGGATACCACAGACTCGACTCAACTCCTGCGGGTAAACAGCGACAATGCACAGTTAAAGGAGAAACGTCCCCTTCCCTCGGAGCCCCCTGCAAAACAAACACACCCACTGTCTATCAATGTCACGTTTCCAGCGCGTTTGCTGGTCGGGGTGTCTTTTTTTAAATTTTTATTCATTTATTCATTTTATTTTTATTTAACCATAGAGACACAGAGAGAAACAGAGAGAGAGACAGAGAGAGAGAAAGCAAGCCACCATGTCCAGGACTCAAACCGTGGTTGGCCATGTGGGAATGTCCAGCACCTTAACCACCACGCCACCTGCTGGTCCTGTCCGAGTGTCTTTATAGATGACTGTTGTCTGGCTAAAAAATGATTCAGCCCCCCGCAGGAAGACTTCAAGACGGAAACAAAACCTTGAAAGGCTCATATGTGCTCCTAAACCTTCTCTTTTTTGAATGTCTCATGTTCATATCATTGTTTTGCATCTTCGCAGGGTCAAGCATGGTCTTTGAAAGCACGCATTTGGTGTGATCATCAAACCGAGGGCGTGTTATATTACCCAGTGACCTGTGTCAGCATTGCTTGCTTCTTTTCTTACTTTCTTTCCTTTTCTGGTTTTCGAGAGATTTTTTTGCGATACGGTGCGTGTACTCTCCAAAGACACAGAGAGAGAAAGAGAGGAAGAAATCGCCCCTTTGGAGGATGGCCTGGCCTCAATCCCTTCTCCAACACCCTCCTCTTGGCATTATGGGGACACAGCACACGTACCCAGAATGTTTTAAACTGCCATGTCCAGGACTTGAACTGAGATCGAGTACACCAGAGTACAGCAACATAATCATTATGCCATCTGCTGATACCCCACCCCCCATTTTTTTCTTTTTTACAGATATTTGCCTTGGGCGAGAGAAAATGAAAAATTATCCTCTGGGGGAATGGGCACACCACAATCCCTTCTCCATTTTCCTCTCAGAATCTAGTATCTACACACCAACTCACCCAGCACGATATTCAAAAAAAAGAGGGAGAGAGAGAAAGCGACCGCCAGGGAGGACGGCCACACCACAGTCCTTGCTCCTCATTCTCCTGTTGGGATTTTGTGCACGCACACACACACAGACACACACACACACACACACGGCCAGCCTGCTGTCTAAGCTGTGCGGTCCTGGACTGAGACTGTGCACCCAACCATGGGGGATCCAGTTGCCATGACCACCATGCCAAGGCTGGCCACCACCCATCGTGTCTGTAGCATCTGTCCCTTTTAAACTCCCACCTGTAATATTATGCCAGTGTTCCCACCTCTCCACGCCCCTGCTGACGGTCATTACTTTCCTAGTTTTCATCTGATTCTCCCAGCGCACCGTCTCTGTGGTCCTGATTGCCTTTCCCTAATGACTCCGGGTGGCTTTCAACATCGGCTAAGTGGTCCGTAGCTGGCATCTCTTTAGACACTCCACAGCCTTGGTGAGCATCTTCACTCACCCCTTCAAAACCATCATTTCAAGGGACCAGCAGTTAGCGTAATGGCTATGTTGCTGGACTCCCACGTAGTCGACTGCGGTTCGCATCCTGGACCTGGTGGCTTAAAACTCATGCCGGGCGCATGTGTGTGCGTGCCCAAGATCCCGAGGGGAGAATGGAGGAGAAGGGATTGCGGCGTGGCTATCCCCCCTGGGGGGGGGTGATTTCTTGCTTTCTGTCTCTCTGTCTCTATCTGGCGAGCGCACGTGCCCTATAGCAAAAACCTCTCCAAAAACAAACAAACAAACAAAAACCACATCATTTCAAATGAACCCGTCGAGGGGGAGAAGGTTAGGGTCTTGGATTCTCACACGTGTGACTGTGGTTCGAGTCTAGCCCCGTAAGCTTGAAATACATGGAGAATACGTGTGTGAGCATGCCCAAGATCCCGAGAGGAGAGTGCGGGAGAAAGGATTGAAGCGTGGCCCTCGCCCTTGGGGAATGATTTCTCACATTCCCGCTCTCTTGTCTCTCTGCGTGTACATAAGCACATGTGCCCTGTAGGAAAACATCTCTCTCTCTAAATAGAAGGCAGCAAAGCCAAACTCCTAGGAGGTTAACAGTGAGACCATGGAACCAGGTAGAGGGGTCTCACCGCACACGGAGATCTCTTACCTCCAATGGTGCCTGGAGGTCTACACTGGAGTTCATACCACGGATTCAGGTTGACTCCTGCGGGTGAACAGCGACCATGCACGGTTAAAGGAGAAACATTCCCTTCCCTTCGGAGCCCCCTGCGAAACATGCACAGCAACTCTCTACTGATTTCCCGTTATCATCTCTTTAGACACTCAACAACCCCAGTGAGCATCTTCCCTCACGCCTTCAACAACATCATTTCAAGGAGGGACAGAAGGAAGGGTGATTTTTACGGCCCTGGATTCTCATCCCTGTGACTGTGGTTCGAGTTCCCCACCCGGCAGTTTGAAATACAGATGGAGTGTGTGTGCATGCCTGCCCAAAGTCCTGAGGCGAGAGTGGAGGAGAAAGGACAGTGGAGTGGCCATCGCCCCTGGGGGTGATGTCTCGTGTTCTCTCTGTCTCTTTCTATATATAAGCACTCATGCCCTATAGCAAAAAGCTCTCTCTCGGGACCAGCAGTTGGAGTAATGGCTATGTCGCTGGACTCCCGTGTAGTCGCCTGCAGTTCGAGTCCCAGACTCAGTGGCTTTAACTCCGGGCACATGTGCGTGCATGCCCAAGATCCCGAGAGGAGAATGGAGGAGAAGGGATCGCAGTGCGGCCATCCCCCCTGGGGGGTGATTTCTCACTGTGATTTCTTTCTGTCTCTTTGTCTCTGTCTTTTTGGCGAATGCACGCATCCTATAGCAAAAACCTCTAAAATAAAAATAAAAACAGATAAATAAAATTTAAAAATATCTCTTTCTCAAAAGAAAAGCAGCTAGGCAAAATTCTTAGAAAGTAAAAAGCGAACTTCATGGAGCCAGACTAGAAGAGTCTAAGTGCCCACGGAGAGCTCTTACCTCCGCCGGGGACAGGGTATCCGCATTTGAGTGCGTACCATGGATTTGCGTTGGCTCCTGTGGGTAAACAGCGACAATGCATGGTTAAAGGAGAAACACACCCTTCCCTTTGGAGCCCCCTGCAGAACGCACGCACCCACTGTCTATGGATTTCATGTGCCCACCTCTTTTGTTCACTGGGGTGTCTTCACAGATGACAATTGTTTGGCTAAAAAATGACTTAGCCCCCAGCCAGAAGATCTCAAGACTAAAACAAAACATTCGAAAGGCATTCCTAGACGTTCCTAGACATTCCTTTGTTTTTTAGATCTTACGTACACACAATTGTTTTACTTCTCGTGGGCTAAAGTCTGGTTTTTGAAAGCATGCATTTGGTGTGATAATCAAACCAAGGATATTGCTATATCCACACAGGGACCTGTGCCAGCATTTCTGTTGTTCATTTTATTTTTTCTAAATGTTTTTGCCTAGGTGTGTGTGTGGGGAGGGTGGGGGTGGGGGGATGGCCACACCGCAATCCCTTCTTCTCTGTTTTTCTATCAGCATCTTGGAAATGATATTTAAAAAAGAGGGAGAGAGAGCAACCCCCAGGGCGGACGGCCACACAACCATCCCTTCTCCTGCTCTCCTCTCGGGGTCCTGGCCATGCACACACAGGTGCACGGTGTGAGTTTCAAGCTCCCAGGGCCAGCGCTCGCTCCGTGGTCAGCCAGGTGAGCGCTCAGTGACGCCATCATTACGCCATCTGCTGAACAAAAAAAAACTTTGGACACTGTCTTCTGAGCCAGTCAGCAGGTGGGAAGCAGCATCAGTCCCTGGATTCCTACTTCTCTGTCCCAGGGCTGCTCAGGAGGGTGTCTACACCCTCCCTCTGCTTCTGATTCACGGGTACCTGACCTGAGCCCCAAAGCCACGTGTCACGGCAATGCACAATCCTCAGGAATTGGAATTTTGATGTCAGTTTGCAAATGACAGTCACCACATTAGACCTTGGTTCATCCAAGCAAGTCCTGGATCTCTAAGCAATGGCTCTGCCATCTCCCCCGATGAGGGCGCCCTGCCCCTCCCGGCCATTGTCCCAGATCTCCCACAGCCTATGCTGTCTCTCCTCCCGCCCTCTCTGAAACGCTCTTGCACAATACGGGTAGGCTGGGGGGCAACGTGGCTGCTGTCCAGAAGGAGACCCAGCCTCCTCTTGAGAAATACATCTGCAGATAGGATCCCGCCCAGAGCTGGGGAGGCAGGCGGCCAGGGCCAGCTCCAGTTGCTCTGAAAATCACCCAGGACGGCTTCCTTCCCCATCCTAAGTCATCCCGTGCCCTGCTCCTTGCACACGGGGTGTCTGCAGCTTTGACGGCTCCAGATAACCTCCGAGGGGAGGCAGGAAGAGGGGAGAGGGTGCGGAGGAAGTGAGCCTGTCGGTTTGAGGCATTGCAGGGTTTCAAGGTGCACTGCACACACCACTTGCTGTCAGCATGACTCACACCCATGGCAGGGCGCTGGGCTCACCCACAATTCCTTACATAACCCAGGAGGACTCCAGCACGCACAGAGACAGCCTCTCCTTGTGCCCAGACACGCTCTCCACACCGGAATAAGGGCACACGCCTTGCAAGGGTCTCCATGTGCTTTAAGCGAGTGACTAGGGTGAGAGATGACCTGGTAGAGGATGCTAACTCTCGGGGCTCCATCCCAGGGGTGGCGTGTTCACAGGTAATTGTATTTGCGGGGTGTCTTTCTCCACTCTGAATACGGGATGCGTTTCTCCTGTGTCACGCTTTCGCTTACCGAGCTCGGCAGCTTTTAAGGAAACCCTCATGTTCCTATTTCTCCCCGAGGAGAAGGCAAGCTCGTTTTGTCTTGGGGTTCTCACAATGGCCCTCACTGCTGGGTCTCTGGGGAGATGGGCTTAAAATACTTCAGACTGGTGGGAAGGACCATAATCATTACCATGAGACCAGACGTGTCCCCAAAGCCCTACTGCTCTGGGACCTTAAGAGCAAACCACATTATGGGGCCAGCAGGTGGTGTCGTGGTTAAGGCATTGGCTTCCCACATGGCGGACTGTGGTTTGAGTCTCGGACCCAGTGGCTCGCTTTTTCTCTTTCTCTTTCTCTCAAGCACATCTGCCCTATACCAATATTTTAAAATAATAAGTTAGAATAAATAAAAATTCTTGGGACCAGGACCCACATGGCCGACTGCAGTTCAAGTCCCATACATGGAGGCTAAAAAAACTCACGCCAGGTGTGTGTATGTTCCTGCTCAAGGTCGCAAGAGGAGAATGGAGGAGAAGGGATGGAAGGGTGGCCATCCCTCCGGAAGGAGTAATTTCTCACTTTCTGTCTCTCTAGAGAGCTCATGAGCCCTACAGTAAAAATCTCTCTAAGATAAATACATAAATGATTACATCTTTAAAAAGGAGAGAGACACACACATTGAATGGCCCCTTAAAGCATTCTTCTACTGCCTGGAGGAACCAAAACTAGGTTCAGATTTCATCCCTGCAAGATGCCGAGATGGTTACAGGAGTTTTCTTCTCCTAAAGTTCTAAGTCTGCTCAGACCCATGGTCACGTTGGCAGACACCCAGTCGTAAGGCAGAGCACAGCTGTTCAGGGCAGTAAGAGCTCCTCTGTGGAAGTCAGTGCCGATCACTAGAGGTTCCTGGCCACCTGGCAGAGCCATTCTGCAGGATGAGAGAGAGAGAAACGCACCCGCGTCCAGTCCTCCACTCCCCCATGGCTTATTTACTTCCATCTAAAGGAGGAAACAGCCCCAGGGAGGCTCTGAGAAAACAGGGAAATAAAAAGAAAAAGCCGAAGATGGTGTGAGGCTCTGACACCAGCTCCTGCAGTTACAGCAGAACTTCCACACTTCCAAGTTGGACGCCAAGTTGGAATCTTGGAAATGCACGTGCACACATGCAGCATGATATTAAAAAAAGAGGGAGAGAGAGCAACCCCCAGGGCGGATGGCCACACAACCATCCCTTCTCCTGCTCTCCTCTCGAGGAGATGCAGAAGTGCTTTTCTAGGGAGCTGGGTTGCTATGGAACACCTACAAATGCATTTTTTTTTTTGGAGGGGGTGGTGGTCCATGCCCTGTGCAAAATCTAAGCACAACACCAAGGAGCAGAAAGATGGAGCTGAAGACGGAGATCTCTACACCAGGGTCTATCCCTGAACATTGTATGCCCATGAACCACCAGCTCCTCCTTACAACTGTCCTTAGACAAGTTAAACAGGAAAGGCCATCACAGAAGCATCTGAATACAATCTTTTCATTCCTAAGAATCACGTCTCACTCTTGTTTTAGTCAGCTACATCATTCTCAGAAGTCACAAGGTGAAAATGAACCTCCCAACCCCCCCAAAAATTGCTGATCAAATCCCACACTTTAAAAGCTCTTTAAAATTCCTTAACAAGGGGCCAGCAGGTGGCATGGTAATTAAGGGCACTGGACTCCCACAAAGTCAACCGCAGTTTGAGTCCTGAACCTGGTGGCTTGCTTTCTCACTTTCCCTCTCTCTCTCTCTCTCTCACTCTGTCCTCTCTGGTCAAATTAAAAGAAAGGAAAAGAAAGAAAGAAAGAAAGAAAGAAAGAAAGAAAGAAAGAAAGAAAGAAAGAAAGAAAGAAAGAAAGAAAGAAAAATAAAATAATTATTAATTTTTTTCTCACTCGGTCTCCCAATGAACCAAACAAACAAACAAAAAGAGGTCATTCCTGGCATCAGAGAGAGACAGAGCAAAAGTTAATATCAAAGTTCTTGGCATGAACAATGGAGATGATTCCAGTTCACAAAAATTAACGTATAAAAAGGTTTAAATTTTTTTCCACATTGACAATATCACCCTTTGGGCAAACCCAATCTTTGGTAAGCTCTCTTCAGGATGAAGTTATGTGTCCACTCTTTTTTACCATACGAAAATAGCCAGAACTGAATCATTTGGGCTCGTTCTTGGACCCAGGTCTTTTACATCAGAAACACACAACTTACATTTCCCATCTACCCAGTGGTGCATAAACCATCCAGCAGGGCACTTTTTTCTTTTTGGAGAGGTTTTTGGGGTTTTTTTTTGTTTTTTTGTTTGTTTGTGTTTTGCTATAGGGTGTGTGCACTCGCCAGAGAGACAGAGAGACAGAACCCGCTGGGTGGATGGCCATGCCACAATCCCTTCTCCTCCATTCTCCTCTCAGGATCTTGGGCACGCACACACACACATCCAACATTGGTTTAAGCCACCAGGTCCAGCACTCAAACCACGGTTGACTACATGGGAGTCCAGCGACACAGCCATTATGCCAACAGCAGGGCACTTTTTAAACCCATGAGACACACATGGGTCAGAAACAAGGAACACAGTTACTATCTAAATGCACAAGAAGAGCTCTTACCCATGTTGTAGCCAGGTCGGATAGAAGTGACTTGATTCAGTTGAGCCAGGGTGGCTCCTGTGGGTAAACAACCACAATGCATGGTTAAAGGAGAAATATACGCTTCCCTCTGGAGCACCCAGCCAAATGAGCACATCCACTCTTTATTGATTTTACATTTCCTTCCCATTTGCTCATCTGGGGTCTTTATAGATTACCATTATCTGGCTAATAAACATCTCGTAGCCAGTCTTAAAGACCTCAAGACTGAAACAGAAACAATAAGTTTAAAAAAGAAAGATGGGGCCAGCAGGTAGCATGGAGTTTAAGGTACTGAATTCCATAGACCTGGCTGCAAGGTTCAAGTCCCGGATAAGGCAGTTGAAAATCATGGCGGGTGCATGCATGCATGTGGCCAAAATCCAGAGAGAGGATGGAGAAGGCACTGTGGCATAGCCATTCCCCCTGGGAGCAGAGGGTGAATATTCAATTTCCCTGTCTGTCTGTCTGTCTGTCTCTCTCTCTCTCTAGTGAGCACATGTGCCCTATAGCAAAACAAAAAAATATATATAAGCAAATAAAACATTTAAAAGACTCATTTTGTACCTTGAATTTTTTTCTTAATGTTATGTCTTATGTACATTTAATTGTTGTACATCTTCACACAGTCAAAGATGGTTTTTCAAAGCATGCATTTGGTGTGATAGTCTAATCAAGGCTATTGTTATATTCACACAGGAATCTGTGTTAGCATTTCACCCTTTTTTTCTGTTAATACTTAGGTGAGGAAAGGTGAGAAATCACCTCTTGGGGGGATGGCCATGCTGCCATCCTTTCTTTTCCGTTCTCCTCTCAGGATCTTGGGAATGCACACACATGCACCCAGCATGATAGTCAAGCCACCAGATCTGGGACTCGAACCACGGTCAGCCAGGAGGGAGTCCAGAAACTTAACCACCACACCACCTGCTGGCCCTAGGAATTCCTCCCTTGTTAAGGCTAATATTTCATTCTTGTTTATTCACTCATCACTGGATGGAGAGTTGCGTGGTTGACCTTTGGCTATCATGACTACTCTGTTGCCCTTAACGCGTGTGCACAAGGTTAGCCCTGCACACGGAAAACACCAATTATTTGGGGTGCATACCTAAGAGAGGTCATTCCATCTTGAACTTCCTAAGGATCTGCAAACCATTTTATTTTTATTTTATTTTTAAGTTGCTGTAGGGCATGTGTCAGAGACAGAGAAATGAGAGTGGGAGAGTATGGAAGCACCACTACAATCCCTTTTCCTCCATTCTCCTTTCGTGTTTTTGGGCATGCACACACACATACCCAGCAGGCTTTCTAAGCTGTCAGGTCCAGGACTCACGCAGGGCACCTAGCACATGGGATCCAGTTGTCATAAACACCAGACCAAGGTTGGCCCACCACCCATCATGTTTATAGCATCTGTCCCTCTTACACTCCCATCTGTAATATGCCAGTGTTCCCACCTCTCCACGCCCTGGCCACCTGGCATTACTTTCCTAGTTTTTCATCTGATTCTCCCAGCACAGCGTCTCTGTGGTCCTGACTTGCCTTTCTCTAAGGACTCCGAGTGGCTTTCAACATTGGCTAAGTGGTCCGTAGCTGGCATCTCTTTAGACACTCCGCAATCCTGGAAGCATCTTCACTCACGCCTTCAAAAACATCATTTCAACAGAACAGCAGGAGGTGAGGAGGTTAAGGCCCTGGATTCTCACCCCTGTGACTGTGGTTTGAGTCTGCCTACACCCAGTTTCTTGAAATGCATGCCCAGTGCCTGTGCGTGTGTACCCAAAATCCCGAGAGGAGAATGCAGGAGAAAGGACTGTGGTGTGGCCATCGGCCCTGGGGAGTGATTTCTCACGTTCCTTCTCTCTGTCTCTCTGTCTCTACAAAAGCACTCGTGCCCTATAGCAAAAATCTCTCTCTCTAAAAAGAAAAGCAACTAAGCAAAAGTCCTAGGAAAGAAATGAGTCAAACTTCATGGACCCGGACTAGAGAAGTCTAAGAGAACAGCAAGAGCTCTTTACCTGCAATGGGGCCGGGGTGTACACATTGGACTGGATACGACTGATTCGGGGTGACTCCTGTGGGTAAACAGCAACAACGCATGGTTAAAGGAGAAACACACACTCCCCTTAGGAGCCCCCTGCCAAACAGCACATCGACTGTCTATTGATTTCACATTTCCATTTCATTTGCTCACCCGGGTATCCTTATAGATGACCATTGTCTGGCTAAAATAATTACTTAGACCCAACAGAAAGATCTCAAGACCGAGACAAAAAAATGTAAAAGGCTCATGTATACTCCTTTTTAATTTTATGTGTTGCATGCATATAATAGTTCTATGTCTTCATGGGTTAAATATGGTTTTTCAGGGACCAGCAACTGGCTCAATGGCTATGTCGCTGGACTCCCACGTAGTCAGCCGTGGTTCGAGTCCCAAACTTGGTGTCTTAAACTCACGCCAGGAACATGTACTTGCATACCCAGGATCCCGAGAGGAGAATGGCCCCAAACCTGGTGTCTTAAATTCATGCCAGGTGTGTGTGCATGTGTGCCCAGGATCCCGAGAGGAGAATGGAGAAAGGATTGCGGCATGGCCATCCCCGCTAGAGGGTGATTTCTCGCTTTCTGTCTCTCTGTTTCTCTGGTGAGCGCACGTGCCCTGTAGCAAAACCTCTCCTCCCACAGAAAAATGTGTTTTTTCAAAGCATACATTCAATGTGATAAAGAAAACAAGGATATTGCTATATTCACACAGTGACCTGTGTCTTCTTGTCTTTCTTTTTTCTTTCTCTTTTTTTACTTAATGTTTTTGGCACGAGATAAAATGAAAAATCACCCTCTAGGGGGATGGTCACATCACAATATCTTCTTCTCCGTTTCCCTCTGAGAATCTTGGAAATGCACACCAATATACTCAGCATGATGTTCAAAAAAAGAAGAACAAAGAGAAAGTGACCCCCAGAGAAGACGGCCACACTGCAGTCCTCTCTCCCCCATCCTCCTGTTGGGATTTTGTGCACGCACACACACACACACACACACGGCCAGCGTGTTGTCTAAGCTGTGGGGTCCTGCACTCCAACTGTGCACCCAGGCCACCCATGGGAGATTCGGTTGCCATGACCACCAGGCCAAGGCTGGCCCCCACCCATCGTGTTTACAGCATCTGTCCCACCTACACTCCCATCTGTAATATGCCAGTGTTCCCACCTCTCCACGCCCTGGCCACCTGTCTTTCCTTTCCTAGTTTTTCATCTGATTCTCCCAGCACAGCGTCTCTGTGGTCCTGATTGCCTTTCCCTAAGGACTCCAGGGGGCTTTCAACATTGGCTAAGTGGTCCGTAGCTGGCATCTCTTCAGACACTCCACAGCCCTGGTGAGCATCTTCACTCACCCCTCCAAAAACATCATTTCAAGGAGGACCAGCAGGAGGTGGTGAGGTGAAGGCCCTGGGTTCTCACACGTGTGACTATAGTTCGAATCTAGACCCGGCAGCTGGAAGTACATGCTGAGTGTGTGTGCGTGCATGCCCAAAATCCCAAGAGGAGAGTGTGGGAGGATTGTGGCATGGCCATCGCCTCTGGGGGTGATTTCTCACGTTCCCTCTCTCTGTCTCTCTGTCTCTACATAAGCACACATGCCCTACAGCAACAATCTCCCTCTGTAAAAAGAAGAACAACTAAGCAAAACTCCTAGGAAATAACAGACAAACGTCATGAAACTGGACAGGAGGAGTCTAACTGCACACGGAAAGCTCTTACCTCCACCTGAGACAGGAAGCGAACATTTGAGTGGATACCATCGATTCGGAGCAACTCCTGTGGACAAACAACAACAACGCATGGTTAAAGGAGAGCTATACCCTCCCCTTCGGAGCCTCCTGCAAAACGAGCTCATTAACTATTTATTTCATGTTTGAAAGGCATTTGCCCATCTGGGTGTCTTTACCGATTATCATAGTCTGGCTCAGGAACACTTCAAGACTGACACACAAAAAATGTCAAAGGCTCATCTTAGTTCTTAGACCCTTATTTTTCCTTTAATTTTATGTCTTAGGCATATATCATTTCTGTCCAACTTCAAGGGGAAAAGGATGGTTTTTGCAAGCATACATTCCATGTGATAATCAAACCAAGGATATTGCTGTATTCACACAGTTACCTGTATCAGCATTTCTTTCTTTCTTTCTTTCTTTCTTTCTTTCTTTCTTTCTTTCTTTCTTTCTTTCTTTCTTTCTTTCTTTCTTTCTTTTTTTTTTTTTTTGAGAGTCTTTTGCTATAAGGTGCATGCATTCTCCAAAGACACAGAGAAAGAGAAACAGAGAGCAAGAAATCACCGCCCCCCCCCTTGGAGGATGGTCTTGCCTTAATCCCTTCTCTTCTAGTCTCCTCTCAGGGTTATGGGGACACAGCACACATGTCCATCATGAGTTTTAAACTGTCGAGTCCAGGACTCGAATTGCCGTCGGTGACATGGGAGTCAAGCAACGTAACCATTACACCATCTACTGGTCCTCCTTTTTTTTTTTTTTTTAAGGTATTTACCATGGGCGAGAGAAAATGAAAAATCACCTTCTAGGAGAATGGCCATGCCACAATCTCTTCTTCTCCATTTCCCTCTGAGAATCTTCAATATGTACACCAATGCACCCAGCATGATATTGACAAAGAGAGAGAGAGAGAGACCTCCAAGAGGATGGCCACAGAACAATCCTCTCTCCTCATTCTCCTGTCGGGATTTTGTGCAAGCACACACACACGGCCAGCATGCTTTCTAAATGGCTGTGTCCTGGACTCAGACTGTGCACCCAGCCACGGGGGATCCAGTGGCCATGACCACCATGGCACAGGCTGGCCACCACCCATCATGTTTACAGCATCTGTCCCTCTTACACGCCCATCTGTAATATGCCAGTGTTCCCACCTCTCCACGCCCCTGCTGATGGTCATTAGTTTCCTAGTTTTTTATCTGCGTTCTCCCAGCACAGCGTCTCTGTGGTCCTGACTTGCATTTCCCTAATGACTCCGGGGGGCTTTCAACATCGGCTAAGTGGTCCGTAGCTGGCATCTCTTTAGACGCTCCACAGCCCCGGTGAGCATCTTCACTCACCCCTTCAAAAACATCATTTCAAATGCACCAGCAGGAGGTGGTACAGTAGTTAAGGCCCTGGATTCTCACATGTGTGACTGTGGTTCAGGTCTCGACCCGACAGTGTGAGATGCATTCTGAGTGCATGTGTGTGCATGCATGCCCAAAATCCCGAGAGGAGGGTGCTGGAGAAAGGATTATCGTCCGGCCATCGCCCCAGGGGGGTGATTTCTCATGTTCCCTCTCTATGTCTCTGACTCTATATAACCAGACATGCCATACAGCAAGAATCTCTCTCAAAAAAAAAAAGACATTAAGCAGAAGTCCTAGCAAATCAACTGTGACTTTATAGATCTGGACTAAAGGACCCTGACTGCACAAGAAGAGTTCTTACCTCCAGCAGGGACAGGGCGTGTACACTGGTATGCATGCCATTGATTGAGGTAGACTCCTGTGGCGAAACAACAACAACGCATGATTAAAGGAGAAACGTACCCTTCCCCCGGGAGCCCCCTGCAAAACGAGTGCATCCACTTTCTATTGATTTCACGTTTCCACCTCATTTGTTCATCTGGGCTCTTTATAGATCATTATTGTCTGGCTAAAAAAAAAAATGACTTAGCCACCAGCAGGAAGACTTTAAGACTGAAACAAAAAACTTACAAGGCTCATCTTTGCTCTTAGAAATATTTCCTTTTTAATTTTATGTCTTCTATACAGATAAGAGTTGTGCATCTCCACGAGGTAAAATACGGTTTTTGAAAGCATGCATTCACTGTGACAATCAAGCCAACGAAATTGCTATATTCACACAACGCCTTGTGTCATTATTTCTTTCATCCTTCTTTTACTTTATTTTTATTTTTCCTTTTCTTATTTAAGTTTTTCCCATAGGCAAGATAATGTGAAAAATCACCCTCTGAGGGAAATGGCCACACTGTATTTCCCTTCTTCTCCATTTTCCTTCCAGAATCTTGGAAATGCAGGCCAACTCACCTGGTATGATATTCAAAAACAGAGGGAGAGAGAGAGAAAGCGACCCCCAGGGAGGACGGCCACACCGCAGTCCTCTCCCCCCCATCTCTTGTCGGGATTTTGTGCACGCACACACACATGGCCAGCGTGCTGTCTAAGCTGTGGGGTCCTGGACTCCAACTGTGCACCAGTCACAGGGGATCCAGTGGCCATGAACACCACGCCAAGGCTGGCCACCACCCAACACGTTTACAGCCTCTGTACACGCCCACCTGTAATATGCCAGTGTTCCTGTCTCTCCACGCCCTTGCCCACTGTCATTATTTTCCTAATTTTTCATCTGTGTTCTCCCAGCACAGCGTCTCTGTGGTCCTGACTTGCCTTTCCCTAAGGACTCCGGGTGGCTTTCAACATTGGCTAAGGGGTCCGTAGCTGGCATGTCTTTAGACACTCCACAGCCCCAGGGAGCATCTTCACTCACCCCTCCAAAAACATCATTTCAAGGAGGACCAGCAGGAGGTGGTGAGGTGAAGGCCCTGGATTCTCACACGTGTGACTGTGGTTCCAGTCTAGACCCGGCAGCTTGAAATACAGGCCGAGTGTATGTACGTGCATGCCCAAAATCCCAAGAGGAGAGTGCTGGAGAAAGGATTCTGCAGTGGTCATTACCCCGGGGGGGTTGATCTCTCATGTTCCCCCTCTCTGTCTCTCTGTCTCTATATGAGCACACATGCCCTATAGCAAAAATCTCCCTCTCTCAAAAGAAAGGCAACTAAGAAAAGCTCCTAGTTAATAAAAGACGAACTACATGGAGTCAGATAGAAGAGTCTAACTGCACATGAAGAGTTCTTACCTCCGTGGACGACAGGGAGTATACAGAGAAGTGTATACCATGGATACGGATTGACTCCTGTGGGTAAACAATAAGAACGCATGGTTAAAGGAGAAATATTCTCTTCCTTTTTGGAGCCCCCTGCAAAGCGAGCACACCAACTGACTATTGATTTCACGTTTCTATCTCATTTGCTCTCTGCTGTCTGTATAGATGACCATCGCCTGGCTAAAAAATTACTTAACCACCAGCAGGAAGAACTCAAGGTAGAAACAAAAAATTTACAAGGCTCATAATTTTCCTAGTGATATGGAGCAACCTGAGACTATAACCTCATGAAACTTCTGTTCTGATATGGAGGAACTTGTGAGAAACCTTGCAGCCCATGGCTGATAGCTGCTTGGGCTTTCTGTTCCCCCCATGAGCTAGCTGGCTCTGCCCTGAACTGTTGGAGTGGTTGGAAGCCTTCAGCAGGTTGGATTCCTTGCTTCTCTGCCAGCTCTGTATTAGGGCAGACACTGAGCTCCTTCCCTGATAGGACACTCCAAGCAGGCTGACACTGTCCCTCCCCAGCTCACCCATAAAAGACTGTGTCCCACTCTCAGCTGGGGCTGGAGATTCAGAGTATTAGCTCTTCTGTGCCCACCGGCATAATCAGACAGCTCTCCTATCTCTCTGGCTGCTGTTTTTCCAGTCATCGGTGTCTTCCTGAACTGTTGGAGCAGTTGGAAGCCTTCAGCAGGTTGGATTCCCTGCTTCTCTGCCAGCTCTGTATTAGGGCAGACACTGAGCCCCTTCCCTGATAGGACACTCCAAGCGTGCTGAAACTGTCCCTCCCCAGCTCACCCATAAAAGATTGTGTCCCACTCTCAGCTGGGGCTGGAAATTCAGAGTATTAGCTCTTCTGTGCCCACCGGCATAATCAGACAGCTCTCCTATCTCTCTGGCTGCTGTTTTTCCAGTCATCGGTGTCTGGTTTTCTGCAACATTTTCATGCATTGGCCAGGAAGTAGAATCAGATTGGCCCTTTGAGCCACAGATCCCAGGGTATCCCCCTCTGTGACAGGCAGAGGTAAGCACACACCCCCCCATCTCATTTGATGGGATTCCCTCAGCTGGGGTGCCCACCCCGAAACTGAGTGTTCCTGAATCATTAGAGTCTGGTTGGAGAGAAGGACCAACTCCTGGACCCTGATGCATCAATTCTGGTCAACTCTGGTAATCTGGTAAACGCCCAACTCCCAGGGATCTGTAGAGCCCTAGTCAGAAAGACCTACTCGAATTGAGTAGAAGAGGAGACCCAATAACTCTCCTTTGGTCACAAGACTGGCAGTTAGGACTCATCTGGTGTATGTCTGGTGTGGCGAAGGAATGTACAACCTCTGAATGAATGTGAGTGTTTGCAGTGAGCAAATGTGTTTGGGGCTCCACAGCTTCTCGCTACAGAGCATGATTGGGTCTGTTACTGCATTTCTGTGGTAGTTCTGTGAAGGCTAAATGGCAGAATTGGTGCTGGGGGACCCAGTCCCTCTCTACGCGTTCAATCTGGCAGAGGCTCAATATCCGATTGCTTATTGCCAAAGAACTACACAAATCTCACGAGGGACATGCCCAGACAGATGCCTGATTGTTCTCCTCTGGGGGGCGCCCACCCTTTGTCTGTTTGTGACACCGTTCATAGGAAGAGGGACACAAAGGCTCTTGGGAAGGTTTTCCTTGTAGAGGCGGAAAGGCAGAGTAATGAATGTCCGGTCGTAGATTTTGCCCCTGGGAATTGGGGCACCAATTTCTACCAACTGTGATGCATGTATAGATAGGTTGTAAACATCTTTGCAAAGGCAGGTAGAGAATGTAGCTGTGGCTGAGGCATTGTTGAAGCAACTGGCCTTTGAAAAAGCTAATGTGAATTATCAAGATGTGTTGAAGAAAACTGACAGCCTGTGAGGACCTTGTAGCTCAGTCCCCACCGCTACTTAGCCACTCTTAATGATCTTGTACCCCTGAAAACAGCCTAGCACAGACACTGTGTTAACCCTTTCTTATCCCTAGGGTGCTCAGGATTTCCTGCTTATGGACAGTTGGTTTGCCATTTCTGTTTCTGCCTTCCAAAGGTTTTTCTCAAATGATTAAAATCTGAAATTGTTATCAATAAGAATGTTTTGTTCTATTTTGGGCAATGTGTTGAACAGTTTTTGTTTGTTTGTAAAATAGACATCAAAGAATAAAACAAATTCTCACAATTTATGTAAAACAAAAAAGGGGGGAACTGGGCACCCCCTATATATGCTGCCAAATTACTCTACCTAACCATGTTCAAATTAAATCATTTACATTTGACTTCGATTCAAAGTCGCATCAACAGAGCATCGCCTGGCAGCATTTATCACCTACTCAAAAGCTTCCTCTAGCAAGTGATCTCCCAAGCCTCCTGAGAAGTGCAGGCTTTTGATATCTGGAGAGGTCAGAGATATTTTGAATACGATGGAAAAACCTCAATCCAAGTCTTCCGAGCCTACTGGACTGGACTGTATGCTGACTAATTTTAAAAAGGGCTTCTCTGGTGATTATGAAGTTAACATAACACTGGAGAGGTTAAGAGCCCTCTGTGAGATTGAATGGCCTTATTTTTTTTTAAGTGAGATGGCCACCGGAGGGAACTTTACATCTCCCCACCGTGTGGGTTATGTACAATGTGGTTACTAGCACCCCAGGCCAATCCAACCAGTTTCCCTATGCTGACTCCTGACTATAGTTAGCCCAAGTCATCTACATAAGAGGGAAAAGTGAATGCACTGTTTTGACCACTCATGCCATGCTTCCACACCCATCTCTGACCCAAAGAAACCCAGGGCTCTAATCCTGCAGGGCCCCTACATAAGAGGGAAAAGTCAATGCAGTATTTTGACCACTCGTGCCATGCTTCCACACCCATCTCTGACCAAAAGAAACCCAGGGCTCTAATCCTGCAGGGCCCTTCCGAAGAGGAGCCTTTAGCAGCTCCATCCCCACATGCCCCAGCCTAGCTGATAATCAAAACCCCACCTCTATCTGTTTCCCCAGAGCCTGAAGAGTAGACTGAAGAGCCAATGCCAGCTCTGCCATCAGCAGAGGGGGAGGCCACCAGCTGTCCTGAGTCCCATGCCCAGATTTTGCCTCACCTGCCATCACCTGATGAGCTGCTGCAGCCCAGGAAAACCTCACTCTTCAGATGCCCCACCAGGGGACACGAGGACACCCCCAGATAGGTGCAGATGGGGCTATTGCAGATGGCCGAGCAACTCCCTACTACTAGCCCTTCAACACCACTGATATGTTTAACTGGAAACACCACACACACCCCCTACTCGGAACAGCCCCAGGCTATGTCAGATCTCATGGAGTCTATACTCCAAACACACCAGCCCACCTAGGACGAGTGTCAGCAACTACTCCTCACCCTACTTAATACAGAGGAGCCCTGCAGAGTCCTGCAGCAGCCAAGAAATGGCTACAAGAGCATGCCTCCGACAATGTGGTAGATCCTGAGGCTTGGGCCAGAACGGCTTTTCCGAATGAAAAGCCTGAATGGGATTTCAGTACCGAGGGCGGCCATGCCCATCTCAACAAGTAACCAGGAGGCGCTCCTACAAGGAATGAAAACCCATGCAAAGAAACCTATCCTGAGAGCCCAGAAAGCCAGTAAACAACTAATGCCACCTTTCTTGCCCCATCAACTCCTGACATCCATAGAAAACCCCAAAAGTAGGAAGGCTTTGCTGGGATGAACGCCACCCAGCTCCTGGAGACTGCTAATCAAGTCTTCATGAACCGAGATCAACAGGAAATAAAGGAAGCAGACCAGTGGATGAAACATAAGCTAACCCTGTTGGCCACCACCTTCAGACAATCAGACATCCCATCTGGTCCAAGAGGGGGACCAAAACCCGGCCACCCCAGCCTTAGACCAACCCAATGTGCTTACTACAAAGAGGATGGACACTGGAAAGATGAATGTTCCAAGCAGAAGGAAAACCAAGGGAAAGTGAACAAAAATCCACCGGGGGCCCCCAAGACTTTACACCCAGAGCCCCCAAGAGACTTCCTGGCCATGATGGAATCAGCATAGGACCAACCAGGCTCCATGATCCTGGGCTCCCAGCAGTCCCTGGTCAACGTCAAGACCAGCCAATGAAATTCCTAGTAGATACCAGAGCTGAACACTCCATTGTCACCCAGCCTCTAGCCTCCCAGTCAAGTCAAAAAGCCACCATCATGAGGGCCACTGGAAACACCAAAACCCAGCCCTTTTTACAGGCAAGAAGCTACCAGCTGAGGGGGCACCTGATTACCCACAAGTTCCTGTATCTGCCTGATTGCCCAATCTCATTGCTGGGAAGAGACGTATTGACTAAACTCAGAACACAAATCAGCTTTGACTCATCAGGCTTGGCTGCGTTGACGGTCAGCCCTGCCAAAATCCTGACTGTAACAGTGCTCCAAGAGCATGAATGGCAAATAATCACTCCCAGAGAAGCACTTGCTACCAACTTAGAGAATTTTCCAGGTCAGGAAACTGGGTGTACTCTGCTTCAATATGTTGACAACCGCCTGCTCACTAGATCAACCAGAGAAGATTGCTGGAAGGGAACTTGAGCGCTGCTCCACCTTCTCTCCCAGGCTGGATACAAGGTCTCAATGAAGAAGGCTCAGATCTGTCCTACTCAAGTGCAGTTCCTAAGATGCATTCTGACTCAAAGATAGCATGCTCTGACAAATCAGAGGAAGACTGACCAGGCTCCATGGCCAAGCATGAACACAAACAGGTACTAGATGGGGTGCCTCAGCCCACAAGTAGGAGACTACTGCACAAATTCCTGAAAGCAGCCAGATTCAGTAAGATTTGGATCCCAGGCTTGGCCGAGAAGGCTAGACCACTGCATGAACTATTAAAAGGCCCAGAAGAAGCCCTATTCGAATGGGGACCCCCTCCAAGAGCAGACTTTCCAGGATCTTCAGTCAAGCCTCAGGAAATCCTTGGCTTTGGGGCTCCCAGACATCACCCAAGAATTCAATCTGTTTGTATATGAAAAAAAAATCAG